ATATAATACAAGAACGCGCCAGATTCTCTTAATACGACTAAAATATCTATAAAATCTTAAACCCACATCATATCATCAATCGATGTCATATAAGTATCCGATAAAACATAAAGCCCCCCATTCGTGCCACGCGCCGGATTATGAGCAGTTAAGTTATGTACATGTTCACCAAACACACTTTGAATACCAAATGAAGAAYTGTACTACTCGGTTAGGTATTCAAGCCGTTCAAACCCCACACGCTGTCGGACGCAGATAACGCACAGCGTTCATGAATATCTCTCTAAATTGCTACTACAAGTGCACATTACTTGTGTGAATGTGGTAAAKACTTTATTTGTAAAGATTCAATGCGGTTATTTTCGGAACCGTTTTTTCTTCTGAAAAGCAGCAGTAGAAATCTTCTATAAACAGTGTTAATTAGAGGTAATTTTGCTCTTGGTGAATGTTGCGTCGTCTGGTACGTGCCACAGATACAGTGCTTGAAAAGTTTGGAAGAATTTTGTAATTTTATTTTACATTTAATGTGGAATTTTGAAGAGTCCAGTTTGTTGGATTTTTTCGCCGGGTTTTACAAAAATAACCGGTTTTATCAACTCATTTAATTTCTAATTCTCATTTGTTTATTAACAACAAAGATTGGTTTTCCGTGCGCGGTTTAATTAAAAACTAAGCTATWCCTATGGAAGGTTTGATAAGGCCTTTTTGGGCTCTTTATTGCCTTTCAAATTCGTTACGTAACTTGCGTTTTTTTTTACTCTTTAGGTGTAAAGAAGAGTGCTCCGAATGGATCATTTAAAGATTTTGATTTTRAATGTAGTGCTTCTATCTACGAGAGATGCTAGAACCGAAAGATTRTTTAAAGATGGTGAAGTCATACTTGGGGCCATGGCACGTCTTCACCTTCAAAGAGACACGAACAAGTAAGAATATACTGTTGAAATCTATATATCATGCAATAATCGGTTTAAACTAATATATTTATAACTGGAAATAACATTTTAAAACATGACAGAAACTTGCGGAATGAAGAATCTTGGAAACAAGATGAAAATATCAAAAGGAAAAATTGGGTATTTTTATATATATTTGAAGCTTCTGTTYTTCGTAGTTTTTTAGTAAGTTTCGAAATGTCAGTTTCTGTTATAGAACGGTCTTTTCACAGAACATAAACAGTTTACCGCAAACCGAAACATATTACTTTTGACGGGCTTTTGACGTCAATACTATCTATCAAAAACCCTAAGGCCTTATTTGATTAGATAGAGCAATGGGTTTGAAGCCTAGTAGCTTGTAGGTGGCTCTTGGATATTTCAAGATATAGCAATTTCTTATTTATTTCAAACATGAATATTTTAATAATTATGCAGCTTTGACTAAGAAAGTTGTACTGTACAATTAGAAGGGTTTTGGGCAATTATTTTAGATTAAAGAAATGAAGCCGCATTTTGACAGCAAATCTACATTGTTTGAAAACAGTAACCTTTTYTAGGGTAATTGATTGGCATCTAGAAAATCGAGGTTAATAAATTTATTTCTGATCACTGACATACATATATCGATTTATCATATAATTATCTATAAAATACCTTTATTTCTCCTTTTCATAAATTTCACTAGTGAAAATAACACATTCGGGGCTTCTCAATATAGTGGAAGTAAGTAAAAAGCTATTTTACGACATAATTTACTTAGTTCATATCCAATTATATGATAAATAGAATGTTACATTTTCGCTTGGAAAAACGAATTTTATCCTTCTCGTGTTGAAAATCTCTCTTTTCAACACTCGAAGATAAAATCCGTATCTCCGCGCGCCCATGTAATATCCTCTATCTATCATATGACCCGTATTTCGGCCCTACGCGCGCTCTTAAAAAACATTTGGGAAATGGTCACGTGATGGGGGCCGTACGCCTCTTCGTGACACGGCCGTACAAACCCGTATCTTCCCGGCTTGAAGTTCCGCGCGCTTTTATTTATTTTTTTTTTACATTAAAAAACGCTGTCATATGATAAAATGCTTATTGACTGAGTTAGGTAGTGCCGCACGGGAAAATATTTGTCTCTCGGTCATTTGTGCGGACATCGCTACGCTCGTTCCGTACGGCATAACCTCGAGCCAAACATTTTCCCGTACGGCCCTCCCACTCAGTCAATAAGTACATAGTATCCGACTTTAGACAAGCAAAAAATCAATATTTTTTCTCTAAGAAAAAGAAAGTAAAACAAAAAACAAAAAAACAATTATCTGAAATGTTTAAAAAGATATTGAGTTTTTTTCCTAGGAGCTCCAAATGTAGAATCATAGGAAATGAAAGAAAAAAAAAGAAAAGAAAAACGCTAAATGAGTCGAAATAGAGCGGATTTCGTATGAGTGGGACACCGTTACCGCACGGTTACCGCACAGTTACCGCACCTGGCCTGCAGAATTTTGGTGAAACAATGGGGCACTAGAATTTGGTTACAGTACGATTACGGACACAGTACAGTACCGTCCGTTTCCCACTCATACGAAATCCGCTCTAGCATAAATATAGAGTATTTTCTTCTTTCATGTCTATGACATTGCCTCCCCTCGAGTCAGTATTGTCTTTTTATATGTGATGGCCTTGATCATTTTCAATTGAGGACTTCTTACATAGCATTGAGTAATAGGGAAAATGACTTCACTTTGTAAAGGTATACCATCTTATATAGAACATTCTATATCTTTAGAACAGCCGACAACACATTGTAGCTTTAAGTAAATTATAATCTTTAGTATTGCAGAACTCATTCTGCATTACATCTGGTTGAAAATAATGAGAAGCGGCCATATTGCCAAAGGGTTTATCAGTTCAATTAAATCTATCATAATTTATTAGTTTTTTTTTTCTGCAATAAATGTACTTTTTGTTTACAAGTTAGTTCAAACTTTATTACGATATACATCTTTGTAGGTATTACTTTACAAATTGAAATTACTAAATAAGAAATGAATTGCTCATTTTCACCTTATCGAAAAGAGATCGAAAAAAAACTGAATGTGTCTCGGATTTTATTAAGTTATTTAATTGTTGTTCTCCATCGATAAGTTACAACGGAAATAAAGAAAGACTAGACAATGAAGACACGAATTTCTGTTCATCTAACAGAGGTGGTACACAATATTTTGTTCTAAACGCAGCTTGGGGGCCTGAAAGCCTCAATACCACTTAAAACCCTAAACAAGTACCCTAAAAAGCTCATATCTATTTTAATAAAATGAATGCCACATCACATAGGCCGACTTTATTACTCTGGTGGTAGATTTAGGACAGTATTTACTAGCCCATTACATGTAGATTTTCATATAGATTCTACGCAAAAAAAAATGTATATATATTATATATATAATATTTACATTTCACAGATTTATCTTTTTATTATGAAATGGTGCCAACGTTGCTGTAAATAAGATGACATATGTATGACTAAAAAATAAATGATTTTTGTTTGTTTGTTGTTGTTGTTGTTATACCAAAAAATGTTATACACACGTACTTCGAACAAAATTGTAACGAAATTCATTCAAAATAATTTACTTCATAACTTCACAAACGTAGTTCATTTTCTCGATTTTTGACCTCATAAAAACGAAACGAAAGAAAGGAAATAAAACCATGACTGAAAACTCACGACCATTGTATCTACTTTTTATCTTATTTTTACTGATCTCGATCTACAAGAAAGCGAAAAATATTAGACATTTTTATATATGGTGTAAAACATTCCTGGAAAGCATTCAAAGCAGACTTTATAACAAGATTATACCAAAAAAGTTTAAATTTCTCTACGTCAATTGAAATTCGTTTATCCTGTACTTTGACAGTACCCTTACGATGCTTACGAGATTTATAATATTGAAAATTGAAAATACGACATTAATTAATCCTGAAAGTGAAAAACGTGCAGTTTTCTTTTTCAAGTTAATTGACGCTATAACGCCCGCCAAGCAGGAGTACTATCAGTTCATACGAAATGCTCTCCTAAAAGCTCTTTCCATTCAGTTGACTTTAAAGTCTGAGAGACAAAAAGCCGTTATCAGAGAGGTGTTATTGTAAATTCTCACTTTGTAATCCGATGATTTCAGCTGTCTCAGCATGTGGTATGGTTTCTTTGTCAATTAAAACGTCGCTGTTTTGACGACTTCCCCAGTTCTCTTTACGCACAGGAAACTGAAACACTTTTATTGGCTTTTTTGGTAATGATTGTAAATGTTAGATTGGAATAACAAAAGCGAAAAGCCTAGAAAAGCTTAATGAAGGGTTGTGCCAGTTTGTTGTTATGAATGAATATACCTTATTACCCAGCCGTTCGCCATGTTGAATTATAGTAATTATAGGATGTCCAGAGGGCAAAAGCGAGCAATGCTATTATAGAATGGTACCAAAAATCCGTTCCTCCGATAATTGCTTCCTTTTTTTGAAAATTTCATGAAATGAAATAAAATTGAATATAAAAGTTTAGTAATTCAGTGCATAGTATTAAAGTTTATAAATACAAAATTGGATTTGTATAAGGATTATACTAATTTCTGAGTGTGTAATCATTAATTATATGAAATTTTTCTCCCAAGTCCAAAAAAACAGTCATTCTAATAGTAATAATAAGTTTTTCAGTTGTAAAGACATATAGACAAAGTCATTTGCATAAAATGTTTTTTGGGTGTTTATTTGATTGTTTTTGTTTTGTTTTGTTGTTGCTGTTGTCTTTTGTTTGTTGCTTATTTATCCCCGAAACAGATTGGGATACAAAACTCCAGATCATACTTGCAAATGCGTTAAATGTTATTGACATTGTAATAAAATTGAGTTTGAGGTTGAATAATCTTGCAGTCAAACAAGAAAACAAAAGCAAAACAAAAACAAAACAATATGATATTTGACTTTGTTGTTGTTTTCATTTCTTTACAATTGAACAACGTTAATGAATAGTTTGGACTAATGGATTATTCATTATACAACTTTTCAGTAAAATCAGACGTTTTGATTGGTTGGCTTTYRYGTGTTATCAAAGTATAGATACACGGATTACGTCAAAACTAATTGTTTGTTGTATAAAACAGATAGATCTCATTTTTCCGTGTGTGTGTACTCTAATAGATACACAGATGACGTCAAAATGTAGTGAGAACAACAGTCACGCACTCGACTGCGTCTCGTGCGTACTTTTTTGTTCTCACTACATTTTGACGTCATCTGTGTATCTATTAGAGTACACACGCACGGAAAAATGAGATCTATTTGTTAAATAGCACACGTAATAATACAACTTTGAAACATTTGAAAATGCACTTTGTGACGTCACGTCACTGTTACTATACCTGAATCAGTACTTTCGGAGAACAATGCGTCCGCAATTTTGTAAAGTTAGACCCGAATCACTATGTCTTGTGCCTTCACACATTTCGTAGTTGCTAAGTCAACTAATCTATCATTATATCGTATAACAATAACTTGACTTTAGCTGAGAAGTTTTTAAAATCCTTTAGGAGTTATAGTTTAGTGATTGAAAAGTGGGACGGTCCCACTTTTTAAGATGGCGGACGCATTGTTCTCCTAAAGTACTGATGCAAGTATTTTAGAATAATCTATTTTCAGTATTCAACTTTTTTTGAAAAACCTTTTTATCGATTTTTCCTAATTTATAGGTGTGGACAGTTTTATCCACAAGGACTCGGCCGAGTTGAAGCCATGTTATACGCAATTCAACAAGTAAACAACAACACCAACCTTCTTAAGGGCATTAAACTTGGCTACGACATACGGGACTTTTGCCAGGATCCGGTCAGGGCTGCAAAGCATGCCTGGGAGTTTGCAATAGCATCCAAAATGGCGGACTGTGGAAACGTCTCATGCTCGTCTGACGGTCAATGTCAGTGTCAAAAAACCAGTAACAAAAATAATAGTTATACGATGACGAAACCTGTGGCTGCAATAGTTGGAGCATTGACTTCTCGAGCAGCTATCCCATTGGCTAATTTCTTACAAGCCGTGAGGATACCGCTGATTGACTCGGCTGCTACCAGTGAAGAGCTCAGCTCACCGCTGTATGACAGCTTTTTTAGGACAATTCCATCGGACGTGAATCAGGCCAAAGCCATTGCAGACATAATCGACCATTTTCAATGGAGGTACAGCAATGATATTTATAGACGTGGTACCACTGTCCACATCATTCCAGTTAGTCATGGACAACATTTACTTGAACAATACCAGGGGAGGGGTGTAAGGGAGCTTCTTGTTCGTCCAAGTTGTTTTGATTCTAAATGAGTTCGAAATTATTTTTACAAATCTATCGGTTCTTTAAAGACAAGCTGTCCTTAACATTATTGGATGGATAATATACACTAAGACACACACACACAAAAAAAAACTAGAATTTTCTTTTTCGGATTGCGCACTGGTTTTGACCAATCAGAGCGCACGTAATATTTAATGGCCTACTTTCGTAACACACGGCTCTCGACCAATCGAAGAGTGTGTAATAAACCTAGTTTCATCTCTTTACCCCGACGAAGGATTAACGTCCGATACGTCAGTAAGTTGTTTTACMTACTTTTTTTACAGTGTTAAAATTTATTTTTTTACACAACTGTTTCTTAAGAAACACAGACTGGACGCAGCTCACACTAGCTTACCGCTAGTGTCCACCATAGTAAATAACTATTAACTATGTGTCCACCATATAAATCAAATAATATATAATCTAAACATCCATTTTTTAGGTACGTAGCTGCGGCAGTGGTAGATGATTCCTATGGCCGACACGGAGCCAAAGCCCTAGAGCGAGAATCTCACAAACGTGGAACATTCTATATTGACCTAATAGGCTATATTCCTATATCAAACTATGACAGCAAACTCAAGTCGATCGTAACAGTGTTAAAACAACGTAAAACTGTACGTGTTATAGTTCTCTGGAGTCATTCTTTTCAAGGTAATAAGCTTTGAATCTCATGTAAGCCGAGTACTAAAGTTTCACGATCTTATTTTTACAGCCTTAACCTCGAAAGCATGTAATATATTCTTTTATTCAGCAGAGAATCTATTGTAATGCAAACTCTGTGTACAAAGAAGACAAAAAAAATTCATGCTTGATTGAAACTAAGCTTGCACAAAAGAGAATTCGAAACTGCAGTATATGATACATTCGTCCTTCCGAAACTCATAAAGCGACTGGTTCCGAGTCAGATCTCACTTAAGTTTGAAGCAATCAAGAAACGGATACTAGATAACATAAAATAACATTTTGAAATGACCATTATTATAGTTTGAGCGTAGTTCGGCTAATAATTACAGAGCGTCAAGCATTTAAAACTAAAGAATAAAGAATAATTTAATGGGACTGAGCATCGTCCCCCAAAAACATAAGTCACACCTTATTTTCACAGACTTAAAAACATATATTATCATTTACTTTCAGGTAAAAAGTTACTCGCAACGGCTGCCGAGGAGGGCCTATGGAACCGCATTTGGATCTTCAGTGAAGCGCTAACCATGGCTAAACCAGAGTACTTAAGAGTACAGAAGGGACTTGGATCAACCGGGACACACTTTGGTGTCCAACTGCCCAAAATCAGCTCAAATGGTTATATGAAATATTTGAGAAACAAAGTTACGAACAAGTCACGAGAACTAAATCACTGGTGGAGAGAATTCTGGCCATTGGTACACAAAGAAAATAACTGTTCCGTAGATTGCAGCGAGGTAGCATTTTCAATGGTCCAAGATGACTTTGTTCCTTACATCATTGACGCTATCTACACGGCAGCGCATGCCATTGATAAGTATACCCGATGCTTACGTCCAGATGGGTCCAATATCACAGGCTCGTGTACACGTGGTCCAAAAAACCTGAGACCAGCAGAAATGATTGGTTATCTGAAGAAGGTATCTTTTGATGGAGTGACTGGGAAAGTTGAGTTTGATGAGCGAGGTGACCCAAAAGAAGCCTCATATGATATCGTCTACTTTAATATAACAAACTCCTCCACTGGGGAACAGAGACTATCAAAGGAAACCGTTGGCCACTGGAATAAAAAGCTTAAGAACAGACTTGTGTTTAAAGAAGATGTTTATATATCATGGAAGACTAGTGATGGAAGATCACCAATATCACGGTGTACCGAAGAATGCGTACCTGGGCAATTTAAAGCACTTACTACCGCATTTTGCTGGAAATGCTTGCAATGCCCTACTGGGAGTATAACAACCATATATGGAGCATTTAACTGTAGCACATGCTCAAAGACGCAAATGTCGTCATCAGACAACACCGTATGTGAAGATTTACCAATTGGGAATTTAAAATGGACCGATATGAGTGGGGTAATACTAGCTGGAGTCAGTGTCTTTGGACTTGTTTCTGATATCATTGCAGTGCTTGTATTCATTCAATATCGCGATACACCGATGGTTAAGGCTTCGAATAAAGTGTATAGCTTTGTTCTTCTAATTGGGATTGCACTTTGCTTTGGAATTGCTCTACTGCACATTGCTGAGCCGTCCAAAGCTATCTGCTATGCCCTGAAGCCGTTAAGATATATCATCTACACGCTGTGCTGCTCAGCTCTCTTCCTTAAAACCATGCAGATAGTCCATGCATTTAACGTTTCAAGACTCAAAGACTGGATCTGGATTGTCATATGTAGTACAAAGAGACAAGTTCTAGTTCTTGTTCTAGTGCTGGCTGTTGAAGTATTCTTGGGGCTAGCTTGGATTCTTATCGACCCTCCATATCTAAACGTCACCATCATTGCGAAGAGTCACGTGTTCCTAACCTGCGAGCCATTCAGCAAAATAACTGGACAAGTACTTGAGCTAATGCTATTGGCTTACTTGATTTCCATGGCAGGCCTCTGCACATATTACGCATTTCGAGCCCGCAATCTTCCCGCCAATTTCAACGAAGCAAAATACATATGTTTCTCTCTCTACATATTTCTTCTTTCTTGGATAACCTATTATCCGGTTGACTATGCCCTAGAGGGGTGGTATGCGGCAATTTTGTCCACGGCAACGATTCTTCTTAGCTCTTATGGGCTTCTGGGATGCATTTTTGTGCCTAAACTGTATATAATTATTCGGCATCCAGAGAAGAATACGGCAGAGTTTGTAAGAGCAGAGTTACGTCAAAGCACCATAAACAGGTCAATGAATAATGACATTAGCAATGGTTCCCGAGGCTCACCGGTTTGATTGGTTCATACTAAGAACAACAACATCAAACACCAACTGCTACTGCAACAATGGACAGCAACAGCAATGAAACAACAAACACAATCTGAGCAGGAGTTGCAAGAGCAATAACTGCAGCGATGGAAAGAGAGACATCAACTGTGACATACACAATAACACACAAGTAACAAAAGCAGCAACAACAAGAACAACAACGAAATCACCAGAAACAGCAAGAACAGCAGACAACATATTAACATAAAATAAGGGCAACTACAAAAACTGCAAAAACAATTTAACAAAGTGTCAAGTACAGATAGAGTAAAGCAATAACGATACTAATTGCATTATCAATAAATAAGTAAACATTTAGTCTACTAGTTCTTGGAAATATTATACATTACCGTAATGAAATTTATCAATTTATCAAGACATTTGAGGAGCATTCATAATTTTTATAAAAATATGTAGCTTGATAGTTCTATAGTACACTATAATTACCGTCCACATTGCATTTGTTACACCACAAGTCCAGATAAGATTGCATAAGATTGCAATCCTTACAATTGCATTTAGCAGGTTAACATAAATCAGCTAAAAAAGTGCTTTTGGCACTTTGGTTTGCTTGAATAGATATTTAATTTTGATTGACAGCATTCTATACTAGACTACTGAAAATTGCATGTTTTAAATATTGTCTTCCTTGTCAAGTTAAGTAATGCAAACAATAGTAATAAAATATACATAGGCAAAAAAGGCATATCTGATACATTGTTAGATTTCGCATTCTTATCTCCCATGTTATGGGTACCACGTATCTAATCGAGACACTCTTTAATTTAACTAAACTGTTAAATATTTTGAGTTTATATAGTGATCCATTCGTTTAAATAAAAAAGTACATAAATTTGAGCATAGTTGAATAGTTCAGCTTAAGATGGAGCTGTTATTATTAATATCATTTCTGTAAAAAAAAAAAAAAAATGCCCCGGAGCCCACATAAAAGTGCTACAAATGTGCTACAACAAGTCAGCATCAGCATTCACTGCATAGATGCATTGCTATTATTTCTGCTATTTCGAAAGGAACACAAACCATGAAACATGGATGGACAAATTTACTTATAACGGGTTGTGTTCTGGAACTTTTTTTTAAAAAACATTGCTTGGTGCCTTTTTGTACAATTTGTCATTCTAATTAGATAAATTAATACACAAAATTACCTCTTTATAATAGTATTTCTTTGTATGTTAAGACCTTACCTTTTCTAGACGTCACATTTTAAGGTTTTTCTTATCCAACTTGGACTTTTAGCATAAACTTAGCAAACTCGAGCACACTCGCAGTTGTACAAATTCACCGCCATTTTTAATTAGAAACCAAGCCTTTGATAAAACACAGGGAATCCATGTCATTGAAGTAAGGATTGCATGTATTTTCAAAATCAAAGACTACTAAAATAGTATTTCTTGTTTTGTTGATTTGGTTATTTTGCAATTTTGCATAATCGGCAACTAAAAGTTCCTGTTAAATTCCCCTAAAGTAAAGAAGTATTTTTTGAGGAATTTTTGTTTTAATCGTGATTCCTGTGTTGAAATTTTCGAGGAGCGCCTGGGTCGAGTTGTGTAAATATTGACAGAATTTCAAAAAAATGGCGGACAGACGACAAACAAACTGGCAAAACTCGCCCCATACAAGGCTAAGAAACGCCAACAATACGTTACTTCACAATCTAAAACAAGGGCAGAAGGAAATCAGATCAATACTCAAAGAAATGCAATCGCAAAGACCTTTACATTCAACTTTTCAACGCGATAAAACAGAAACTAGCTTCACAGCTCGTGGACTCGATCGAACACCTACAACCGTTCAACGATCAGAAAACACGAAAGAATATTTACAAGACGCTGATACAAGTACACCAAAAAGTTACCGAGACGCTCTTGTAGGACCTGGGAATGATAGGAGATCAAGAAGTTTAGAAGCAACACCGAATTCAATCCTTAGAAATTCTAGTAATAAGAGAAAGGTGAGGAAAAAATCGAATCAGAGCTTTTTAACTACTTTGCTCGATTACGTATTGCCTTTTCATTTTTTCCTGATTGTTTTGCGATGTGTATCTGTCATCCATTCCATTAAATAGATATTAGAATTTTATTATTCATTTGAATCTTGTAACGCTTAGCGACCACCGTGAAATCGACAGTAAAAAGGTCACTGCTTTAAAGCTTACATTGTATACAATCAAATCAATTAATCTCAGGTTTGTTTACTTTATAACGACTCTATGAGATTTTGAGAAGATTAGATGCAAAATGATCGAACAGAACCAACGATCAAATGAAATCAATCAATCAATCGAATTATATTTTGGATTGTTCGTTCTTCTTTTGTTTTTGTTTTTCCCTTTCCCTAATTACTAAAATCTGATTATATACGTAAGTAATTTACTGTTATTTTGGACCCGTTTCAGATGTCAGTCTAATCTAATTGGTGGAGTTGAGTTTATGAGCATTTTGTACTCTGAATTTATTGACATAATAACTAGATTTTGTTCAGTTGGACAAACCTACTATAATCTGTAAACATCATTCGATGTACATGTACACTTCAAACTTTTATTGAGATCTGCACGTAAGCAATTAGATTAGACGAGGCAAAAGATCGTCACCTAAAACAGGCCTTAGTCTTTCTATGTATGTCTAGAACATAACAGACATAAATCTTCATTTTCAATGAATAGAAGTATTTATTTTGACCTTACATCAAAAAATTGATAGAAGCAGGCTGTAAATATTAGGAATTTCTCATATATAAGCTCATTCATTGCCACAAATCCAATCAGAACACAAATCCAATAAAAACCTTTTTTCGTTTGGGGTATKTAGGCCATCCCTGCACCCTCTAATAAGCTGTATTTCAAGAAAATACATTATATTGCAGTAAATCCTTAAACTGTTCTTTCATATCATTCTAGACACCAAAGAAAGGCCTTCGAGTCAGCTTCCAAACAGATGAAAATAGCAATCCGATCTACAATGATTTAAATAATAGATCAATGCTTGGATATGATTGGATAGCTGGTATCCTTGACAACACATYTTACCTTGCTGAAAAGAATGATGACTTTTTTGAAGATTTAAAAGAGTTTAGAAGAGTCAACAAAGATGAATGTTACAGTAGCAATTTACAGCAGTAAGTATATTTATAATATTTATTTAAGGAATAAAAGACGAAATTCCGTGTTTGATACTCTGATCAAAACACGCGGGATGTAGGGAGAGAACGAGTGAAGCGTAGGAAACCACGACGCGTAGCGGAGTGGTTTCCAGCTTTTCGAGTGCTCTCCCTACATCCCAAGTGTTTTGATCAGAGTATCAAACACGGAATTTCGTCTTTTATTTCTTTTCTAAAATTAAAAGAAAACAAGAAATTTTTGACGTGCGCGAGCGTGTTTTGATACTGTAATCAAACATGGTTTTCGACCAATCACAGCGCGCGTAGTATCCTAAATATTTTAGAAATTCTATTATAAATTTGAATTTTAAAAACTAGTGCATCTTGTAAATGATTTGTGTTCATACTCAATATTATGAATCCAAAACTTGGATTTTTACAAAGACATGCAATTTTTTTTCCCCAAATATTAGATCATCTTTAATTCAACCATTTCATTCTACCACACCTCGAAAAGATGCTGATGATGATGACGAAGACTGGAAGCCATATACTTGTAAGATAATTATATATTTAGAATATAGAAGATATGAAAAAATGTTGGATGGTCCAAAACCATGTTCCAGCATTGTTGGACAGTCAATATTATATGCCATTAATTTGGTTGACCTTGTGCTTCAAACATTATAATTTTGAAATTGCTGTATAAACAGCTATTTCAAAAAAGAGGTTGATTGCTTAAAAGTGTTTATTCCTAAACCAAACAATTTATTTACTGAAATCTTAATTCCCACAGCACTGTTTTTTTGAGGCTTAGGTAGAATTTATTTCGAATTTCTCTTCTATTCTACTAAAACAATTTAAGTATAGTTTACAACATGAGCGGCCGTGTTGTATGGGAATTACAATCTCGAGCCGCAGGCGAGAGATTGTAATTCCCATACAACACGGACGCGAATGTTGTAAACGACTTATAAAACTCCAACACAAATTAACATGAATTACAGTGAGATAAATGACAAAAAATGGCAATTAAGGAAACTGCTGAGTTGAGTCGCTATTAAGCATGCGCAATTTACTGCAACACAGAACATTTTGAATAATTATCCATCCCACATGGAAAGCAAGCCATCTGTTGCATAAGCCAGTTCTGTTATCCGTCTTTGATTGCTTCAAAACCTAGTGAAGGTCTATGATGCGACACTAAAACTGAGACCTTTGCTAGTGTTGGGTTGTCTCAAGGTGACGACCGTGTTGTAAATCTTATACAACACTAGTGTTGTATCACAGTGTTGTATCTGATTTACAAGGTCAATCACCTGATGAAATGGACAACCCTTATTGGAGTAATAGCTCATGCATTATTAATAAGTTTTATAATAAAATGTACAAATTACTCTATAGCATTAAGAGAGATGATGAATGGATAAGAAATATCCAAATTTCATTCCCAATCCCATTTAACCAGTCCAAATGGACAAATCCCAATCCCAATGGAAAAATCCCAATTCCCATCCACAAAAAAGGCAAATCCCATAATCCCAAATCCCAAATTCAAAATTTACCCCTTCAGGCTAGAAACTTCTCTTTAGGCTTTCAGTGATTTTGTGAATTCAAAGGCAGAATGATTTAATATTTTTCTCTCTTTTTAGGTACAAATACTTACAGACTAAATGAAAGACTCTTTGCAGAGAAAGTTCACAATGATGATGTATCTTGTGGAGTTTGCTACACTAAACCTCCACCTGAATACGAAACAGAGGACAGCTATGTAAGGTAAAATGCCAAGCATTTGTGGACAAAATTATATCAGGAATCAGGCATTCTCATTGGTTGTTGTGGAGCGATCTATTCCATACACAAACGCACTCCCTTCTCCCACATTTTTAGCAGCGCGTTTCCTTTTTCTTGTGGGAATCGCGAGTGATGGAGCAAACGATTTGGGTATTTACATGTGTGAAAACTAAGACTTAGAACAACGAATTTCACTAAAACTTCCCTTCTCCTTGGTCACTAAATACTGGCTATATATCCCCGGGATTTGGGGACTGCTTTTTCAATTAATCGATTCAATGTTCTCTTTATTTTTCCTTCATTTCAATCAGAGTAAGTGTCCCGAGGTCAACACTGATGTCACCTTATAAAGTCAAGCCACATAGGCGTGTAAGCTTTGACCCCACGGACTCTATAGGACTGTCATCGCATTGCTTGGCTGGATGGGAGAGCTCTAAACCTGCTGTCGTTCCTCCACAAACATCGCTTGATTTGAGAACTTCGTTATATAAGACAAAAGAAGCTTTGGTATGTGAACTATATATTTTTGTTATCGTATCGTTGTTGCTGCTGACATTGTCGTCATTGTTGTCGTTATTGATGTTGTTGTTGTTGTCGTTATTGCTGTCGTTATTGTTGTTGTTGTTATTGTCGTTATTTTTGTTGTTTTCGTTGCTTTTGTCATCGTTGTTGTTGTCGTTGTTGTCGCTGTCGTTATTGTTGATGTGTTGTTGTTGTTGTTGTTGCTGTTGTTGTTGCTGCTGTTGTTGTTGTTGTCGTTATTTTTGCTGTTTTTGCCGTTGCTGCTATTTATTTATTGGATTGTCTTCAATGCCTTAAAGAGGTTGCTATGTTTCACCCTAAAAAGCTTGTCCATCTACTTTCATGTAGCAGTATTGACAACCATTGACGGCAATTTTTTTCGCATCTATCCCAGAATTCCTCGAAAACATTCCGTTTCTCATCTGAACCCCAAAGTACAAGAGATTTACTGGATAGAAGTCACTCAATGAGATACGGCTTACAAGTCCTGGATATGCAACGAGGCTTGTCTGATCGCCAGGCGCATTCAACACCTTATCCTCTTCTATGAAGTCAAAAATACGTTGAGTACTCAATATCGCTGTATTGCCTCTACATTGACTTTTGAATGCGTTGATTGAAAAGACTCTGATTTTCGAATGTGTGCATGCTTGTATTTCGTGTAATTTCAAAATTATTTATTTGCGATGACGCTTTTACCGTGTTGAAATGATTAAAACTAAATAACAATATTTACAATAAAATTTACAATAATTTCAAAATTATTTATTTGCGATGACGCTTTTACCGTGTTGAAATGATTAAAACTAAATAACAATATTTACAATAAAAAGCTACTAAGATTATTCTAAAACAATGAAACAACATTGCAATGATCGAAACGTTATAGGGTACCAGACGTTTCAATATACCTTTTCCCAAAATTTATTTACGGCGCAAAGTGCTGTTAATTTTGAGGTTTTACTGCGCTAAAGGCCAATGGCCAACCAGCATCCCTTTCGAGCTTTTGCTCATTGTTTGAAAATAAAAATACATCGCATTATAAGCAAAAAAGCTTATACTTAAGATCTACAGCACGACCGAATTGAATGCTGGTGGACCATGGCCCTTTTAAGTAAGCTATTCCAACCCCTGTTATTCAGAGCAATTGAATTTTCGGCAGGATATCTGGTATTTAAAGAAAATTAAGATCTCTTATGTAATGGAAGATCTTGAGTTCAAAACCATTTTTTTGACATTTTTTTGTCGTTTGAATTTGCTTCGGAATGATCGATAATAGAGCGTAGGTGCGGAGAAGGCCTATTTATGACGTATTTTTACGGTACAAGAACTTCGAACAATAACACAATATTTCGTACTCATTATTATTCTAATAATTACAAAGCTTTCGGTTGGATGACTTTTCGGTTATAGTGTTGTCGTCAATAAAAAATACTTCGATGGCGATCGAAACTCCCTTAGAACCTGGCTAAAACGCAAGGTTGTTTGACATGCTTGTAACTTGGTGTTTGAGTGATTGGGATTTCATCAGAGAGTGACAAAAAGTAGTGTAAAATATGAAGAAAAGCACGGGACGACCTGCTCAAGTTGTGCTTAATCGACAACAAGTGAGTATGTTTACTTATTATTTTCATTGTCGACTCGATTTATTATTGTGGCAAAGTAAAGAGTAAATTATAAAAGTTAAGACTTGTTGAGTTCTTAAAAGGGGGGAATTTGTCATTTGTGTTCAATCTGTCTCTCTATAATGAGCATAGTTTTGTAAACTAACAACTAAACCAATGTTTTGTTGTTATTTTTTTTTTTATAATTCTTACTTTACAATGGCTATACATTATCAATACGAAAATACTATAATTACTGGTTTGAAGTTTGATATTCATTTCCATAATTAAACTATGTGTCTACCAAATTGTATTAGTCCCAGAAATTAAGAATAATGATAAAAAAACAACAACAGACAATTGACTGGTCGCTAAGGTCGTTTGTTTTAGTATCCTTCAAACTAAAGTCAAGAAAATAAAATGCTTTCGGCTTTTTTTCGCTTTTCTCGACTAATGGACTATCACGAATAGTTTGTAGTTCAATAGCCAGTCAGGATCCTAGACTCAACAGTCGGTTTGGTGGATAATGAGTATTAGTAATATTATGTTATAAATTGTTATTATATCATAAATTATTTGTATTGAAGTTTGAATGATTACATCCTACTATAGTGATCGCACTTAAAGCGTGCAACTGTACAAAATCTAAGTAGTACTAATTTGTACTAAAAGTGGACCTGAAGCAAGACGGTATTGAATGCTTCATTTGTATCAATTCAATTTAATTTGCGTAGAGCATGCACGATTTATTAAATACAACTAATATAAATAGAACTATTTAGTTTATGCAGTTGCATGGTTTAATTGCGATCACTCTTGAGGACTGCAAACAATAAAAGCGTGAAAAGTACTATATAGAGTACAAACTTTAAATGTGTGCATCACTTTCCACAATTTACTACAAAATAGTGTTAATTAAACAATAGAAACCAATAGATAGCATAATTAGCAGTATTTAGTGGTATTTATGTTGCACAGTTTTAGAGATTAGACAAAGGAAAACAAAGAAATTCGCATAATTCGTATAATTTTCATAATTCGTATAATTTAGCACTATTTCATTACTGAAATTTTTCATGGTTCAGTACTTGCACTGAACAGCCAACAAAGATTTCTAACTTATTACGATATTGTTCTTTATAGCACAAGACATTAAATAATAAGCAAGTGACTGTGAAAAGCCGCAAAGAACAAGGCAAAAGTAATGTTAATCCGAAAAAGCTTACCAAATTGAAAAGCAAAGTGAACTTAGGTCGCACTAATAATGTTCAGCTGGGAAAGGATAACCTCGCCATGAGCGATGTTTCAACAGATTCAGAAAATTCATCTGATGAGGGTCTACAGGAAAGGGAGAAAGTTCTTACTATTGACTGTGGTAATTCTGGTAAGCGCTTAGACGTATATTTCAGACATAGTCCACCAGCATCCCTTTCGAGCCTTTGCTCATGTTTGAAAATAAAAAATACATCGTAATATAAGCCAGAACTTACTCTTTATTATCCCTTTATACTATATGAATGGAGATACTGTAAGATTCGAAGTTAAAAACCTATGGATGGAAGCAGATTGCGACTGGATCAGATTCGAAGTCACCTCATTTTCCATTATGAAAAATCTAAAACACGACCGCATTGAATGCTGGTGGACCATGTTCCTTTAAGTTAAATTAATTATTAAATTAATTTAATTTATTTTTTATTCTTATTGCCTTAGATATTATAGATTTTTTTATTACATTTTCGAGGTGACCCAGATTTTCGATAACCTTCCATTGTTGACTTTAAAATCGAATCTTACTTCATATATAACGATTTATTTTTATTGTCAAACATAGCAAAAGCTCGTAAAGGATGCTGGTTGATCATGGTCCTTTAATCCAATGTACCAGTAACTTTAAATTCTGTTTCCTTAGGCGTTTTAGGCGACATTGGTTTTGAGTTGATGGGTGGACGTACATATGATGACGATGACTACGATGACCCTGGTATCTACGTCCAGGATGTCACTGAAGGTCATGACGTCGCCAGGATAATTGAGGCTGGTGACCAGGTCATCAGGGTAAGGTGGCCCTATTGAAACAACATAATCTTAATTGCCCTATAGCATTATAACGTCATAGTATATTTACAATGTGGATAGATGCTCAGAAAGACTCGAAATGTGGACCTATTTTAATATTTTAAAATATTCTTTCCACAAGTAGAACTTTTAAGGCTGATTTACACGGCACGATTTGTCGCGCGCGACTTGAAGTATACGATTTTCCTACTACAAGTCGTAGGATTTTAAGCAGTGGTTCAAAATCGTACTACAAGTCGTAGGTTGCGTACGACTGTTGTAGACAAGTCGTAGGGGCATTTACACTGCGCGATTCAAGTCATATACTACAAATCGCACGAGACAATCGTGCCGTGTAAATCAGCCTTTAGTGTATCATTTATCAATGACAACTCATCGACATTTTATTTGATATGCAGTAACTCTGATACCCTCTGGCGACCATAATCCTTAGCGTTAAAACAATAGAATGTTTTGGTGTGACTTAATTATGCGATAGGGCAATTACAATAATAAAAAAGAAAAGTGTATAAGAAGAGAAAAGAAAGTTGAATGAATGAACTAAAAAAGATTAACATATCGCTCTCTCTATCTCTCTCTCAAAAGAAATGTCTTTAAAAAAGTTATTTTTTCTAAAGATCGCTGGACATTCTGTTCTTGATGTACCACTTCATCACGCTTTGAATCTCATACGAGCAGCGAATTCAAGAGTTGTTATCAATATCTTGAAACATCCAGAAAACAAGGTAAGACTTAAAGGGAAATATCTAAATAGTGAGGACTGTTAAGGTAATAGCAGGGACGCCATTTTGTACAACAAGGCATGATGGGAGTTTCATTTCTCGCACTTTTTCATATCCATTTAGAACATTCCATATCTGGTAAATGAACTCTAAATACACTGCACCCTATACTTTATATTATTTTCCATGTTCTAAAGGAGCAGAGGACTTGGCACTACATCAAAATAGCATCAAGAATTTTAGAATAGACATCATACTAAGAGACAAATCATCAAAATTCACAATCCACACATTTTGATTTACAAGGAATGTATGGCTTTATGGATAGCTGCCCCCCAGAAATAAAATTCGTTTTAATTTTCCTATATTGGTATATCTGGGATTGCATTTTTTCTTTGAGAGGAAAAGTACTATCTGCTAGTGCCAGTCCCCTGCTCATTTATGTCCAATTCAATATGGCATATTTCTGTGAAGTACTTTGAGGCTTTCAATACAAGATGATAATTTGTTACGACCTTTTGTGAGCTTTAGACCACAATTAAAGGCTATGTTATGCATTTTTGCAGTTGGGTCCGGAACTTCCACAAGATTCAGATGACGATAGCGGCCCAGCAACTTCAATACAAGGAGACGACTTTGAAGAAATTAATGAAAACGAAAGCGACGAATTAGATGGAAGGGTCACCCCTAACGTTGACATGGGCTTAGGAGGGGGGTTATTTTTAGCCTCTTTAGCTGTAGCAAATTTGGAATTCCAGCAAGGATCAAGACAAGGGTCAATGTCGGCACTTGGATCAGTAAAACCGGGCTCAAAAGCTGGCTCAATTGCTGGATCAAGTCGGGTAAATTCATTATCAGCAGGAGCATCAAGGATTGGATCAACAGTAGGATCTCTAGCAGGTTCAAAGCTCGACTTAAAGCAAGGATCAATAGTTGGGTCCAAAAACTCAACCCTCACAAGAGGGGTTAATGCGAGTTCATCTGCGGTGGATGAAACAGATGGCGGAGAGGAAGTCGAAGTGGGTTTCTTCAGTGGAAGACCAGGTACTGACTAAAAAAGCTGTAGGTCTTGTTAAAATGGTGCAAACTAGCGGTAAACTAGTGTGAGCTGCGTCGGTGTTTCTAAAGAAACAGTTGTGTAAAAATAGAAGTTTTAACACTGTGAAAAAAGTAGGTGACGTTTTGGACGTTAATCCTTCGTTGGTGTAAAGGATGTTGTTAAGGCCACTTAATAGTTATGATTTTTAAAGCGCAATTCTCGGGGCGATCGTCGCGCAACCATCGTCTGAGTTTCGGAGTTTCGAACATGCTTGAAAATTGTCTGCAACTTCGCGGCGATTTTCCAACGCCGTAACAATCTCAGGGCTGTTTACACGTACGATTTGAGTTGAGCGATAGCAAATTGACGATTAACGCGCTACGAAAAATCGCAAGTGAAAACGGGACTTTAGGTATTGTTATGGGTGGTTCACACTAGCGATTTTTGCGGTCATTTTTGATCCCAGTTATTAAACTTTATTGTTTAATCTATTTTCCAGGTCAACTAGATGACCTAGACTTTGATTATGCTGGTGGAAGAGATGCACCATTTGTTTCACGTAATGGTGGGATTTTCATTACGAAAGTTAAATTTGGAAGCGTTCTAGAGGAACAGGTAGCTCCTGGAGATAAGATTATAAAGGTAATTATCCATTCTACCACTAAAGCCCTTTCTCTCTGGAGTTAACTTCTTTTAACAGTAAAATAGAGCATACTAGAAAGTACTGAGAGTGTTAAAAGGTGAAGAGAGAATGGACTATAGTCTTTGCATTATTTCCAATTCCCATACGAGGGAACCTTGAACAATCCAAAACAAAAACTCGCTTTGTGGATTGGTACGATTATAAAGGAACGACATGGTGGCAATAGCTTTGATCTTTGTTCATAAGGTGATTTTTGGCGATTTGGTTTCACACCCATAATGCACACTAACTTAGATTTGAAAACGCGCGCAGCATCTCAAGTATTTTATCCATGTATTTTAAGATGACTGACTATTTAAAATGTACTTAAATCATCTATTGTTTCAGTTGGATGGGATCGACGTGACAAATGTACCACAGTATGCTTTTATTAATCTAATTCGTGCTTCACATGGTAAAGCTACAATGATAGTACGCAAAGCAAACAAGACACAGGTAAATAAACGCCTTTAAACTCCATACAACATGTTTGATACTCCATCCAGCACCATCAAGCAAGGTGGTCAAACATTTAAGCTCATCTCATATGCAACGTGTTTAATTTCTCATCTAATAACATCCAGCGCCATCAAGGAAGGTGGTCAAACATTCAAACTCATCTTGTATGCAACGTGTTTGATACTCCAACAACATTTAACTAATTCAACACCATCAAACAAGGTGGTCAAATATTCAAACTCGTCTCATATACAATATGTTTGGTACTCCATCAAACAACATCCAGCACCATCAAGCAAGGTGGTCAAATAACATTCAAACTGATCTCATATCCAACGTGTTCTTCATTTTCACTATACCTCACAGTGGCCATCTTGGAGGAACTTCAACAAAGGATTTCTCACTAGTGTCTATTGTTCATTCCTCCAACATGGCCGTCCTTTTATCTTTTGAATCTCATGGTAATGGTTGAAAACGATCAATTTTATTTTCAATGAAGCAACAAACAACACCACCAAACAAGGTCATGCAACATGATCGATGCTCCATCCAGCCCCATCAGCCCCTTTTAGACTGTTGATGTTTTTTTTATTTATTTCTAAGGTGAATGCCAGCGTTTTTCAAGATGATCTAGAGGTTTGCGTGAATGCACTGGGAGCACAAGATGAGCTCATCATAGAAATTAAAACAGGCCCCAAAGGTCATTAATTGTATAAGAATATTTAACCATTAGGCACGAGGTCCACTGGTCGTACATGTATTAGGCCGAATGGACTATCAACTCGTAGTTCACAAGACCAATTGCTCTAATTGTTTTATCCACCAAAATATAGAACAAATCAACAAAAGAACACACACAAAAAAATCTTTTGTCGATCGACTATATACCATTGTTCAGTAGCCAATCAGAATGCTGGATTTGTGGTAGCCCATAGTTTGGTGGATACAAATATGGATTGTATGATTTCAAAACAATAGCACTATGCAGATTTACACTGCGATATATGAAAATATGCTTATGTTGTGTCGCTTCCAACACACGAGGTTTCACTTAATATTATCAGTAGAATACGAGTATCACTTTCGTCTACTTCTGCAATTATGTTTTCCTGAATAACCCATAAATCTCCCTGTGCTTCTTCTTATGTTGAACAGTGAACTGAGCCTAAAAGTCACAAAAATCCCATAAGAGTTTCTACAGGTGTTGATATGCGTTACGTTGTTTGGGTTCCAGGTCGTCGCGGTCAAATTGGTTTCAAGATCACTGGCGGTCGTGACAAACCGTGTAAGCCTGGTGATCCTGGAGTTTTTATCAAAAGTGTTAAACCTGGATCAAAATTAGAGAAAATATTGAAGCCTGGTGACAAATTACTGAAGGTAGATAGAACATCATAGTGGTCGTCATGGCGCGACAAAAAAAAACTTACGTATTTAATTGAAAAGGGAAGCCGACCTGCACGTAACTTGATTGTGGCTGATTATATTTACATACGAAAAAAAAAGTGAAATGCACGTTTAAACATCCAATCTCATTCGTTGTTTCCAATTAATTTGTGAGAGGGAGGGGATCCTAAGGACTTTTTCTTCAAAAAAGAAAAAAAAAGCTCAGGAGGAGACGGCAAAAAGACGCAACAAACTGATATAGAAATAATGCGTTGTATGCCCTAATCATGTTATTTTCTTGCTAGGTTGACGGCAAGAATGTAACACAAGCAACACAAGGACAGGTCTTGGATTTGATAAGAAATGCTGACATCCGGGTACTACTGCACATCAAAAGACCCGTATTTGAGGAAGATGAGGTAAAAAAATATTATGGTATCTCTGTGATTAGGGAGATCCTCTATTTAAGAAATATAAAACGACGCGCGTGTCTCTGTCCTCTGATATAAACACGGTGGGAGTTCGAAAAACACGAGAGAAGCAAGCTCTTACTCTCTTACTTCTCGAGTGTTTTTCAACTCCCACCGTGTTTATATCAGAAGACAGAGACACAAGCGGCCGTTTTATATTTCTTTTATAAAATTTTCGAGCGAAAAGAAAATTTTGCCGGTAAGTCGTGTCTCTGTCCTCTGATATAAATACAGTCGTCAGCCAATCAGAGCGCGCGTTATATATCAAAAATTTTATTAACCACTATAATATTGTTCGTTTTCAATTATTCCCTTGAACTTCAAAAGACAAAAAACCGGCGGTTAGTTTATGAGCAATAGTTACAAATTAGAAATCCTTTGTTGAAGCTAAACCAAGATGGCCACTGTGGCGTGTATTGAAAACGAAGAATACTTGATCTTGCATGTACTTGAGGATTTTTTGACTAGAGTTTTATTGAAAAATTGACTTTTCCTCAGGAACGAAGAAAGCAAAGAACGATAAGTGAAATATTTGATGCCGCACAAGTACAAGGTGAAGAATCATGATTCGTTGAACAAAAATGGCTCCGTTTCACTTTCTCGATTGATCGAACTTATCTACCCTCAGAACATTTTTGAAGGCCTGACATCAATTGCCAAATAGAGCAAACGCAGGAAAACCATGAAATAAAACCAAACTAAATACTAACAAAAATCGTTTTCCTGCGTTTGCTCTATCACCTTTTTTTAAGTTTTTAGTCCTTTTTTTGTTGTTGTTGTTCTACGACTCCTGGTTCGTTTTTGGCCAAAAACTGCTTAATAATTACTGTCTTATATGTATATTTTTAATGCTTAGAGGTAATATTTCATTGATATTCAGCTAACGTATTGTTATTATTTCCCAGAGTTTCTTGCAGCATTTGAGTTGTACAGCAGTCCCCTCACTAAAAAGATGCGTCTCTCTGACCTTCGAAAGCTTTGTCGAGCTTTGGGGTTTAACTTGACTTCACAGGACATTGAAGCTATGATTACAAAATATAAACATGAAAATGGTAATTTGTGTTAACATTGAACCATCAATTCCACTCTTCTTGCTCTTGCTTTTGCTCTTGCTTTTGCTCTTGCTCTTGCTCTTGCTCTTGCTCTTGCTCTTGCTCTTGCTCTTGCTCTTGCTCTTGCTCTTGCTCTTGCTCTTGCTCTTCTCTTGCTCTTGCTCTTTCAGGGCCACGTAGTTTTGTTCGTTCGTTTATTTATTCTTTCATTCTATCTATAGTTGATGCAGCACACTTCATCACATTCCCCGAGTTCCTTAAAATGATCACCGAGTTCTCCATGTACCTTCAAAAAGACGCCGATATAATGGAAGCATTTGAGATATTTGATCGTGAGAGGTCTGGGTTCTTCTTACTGGAAGATTTAAAATACGCTTTCCAATGCATGCCGGGATATTCCTCTTTAGACGACGAAGAAATCCAAGAAATTATGAAAATAGCTGACTCGAATGGGGATGGAAAAGTGTACTATCAAGGTAAGCGGTATTGAAGGCTCATGGACTACCGGCATCACTTTCGAGCTTTCTTTATGTTTGAAAACAAAACAAAAAACATCGTAATATAATCAAAAACTTACTTTTTATTATCCATTTATGTTAGTATATGACTGGTGACGTTGTAATATTTGACCTAAGTTAAACCGATGGATGGAAACGGATTGCGAATGTATATCTAAGTCACTCGTTTTTCATGTATGGAAAGTCTAAAAGACGACCTCATCGAATGCTGGTAGATAAGACCATGGATCTTTAGATATAATCTATTGTTCTTTCATTAAAAATTCGAGAAGAGTGCATTCATTATATCTTTGAATCACTAGTAAGTTGACATATTAAATCAGACATATTGACCCAGCCCCCTCCCCACTCAACCCCTCCCTTCTTGGGTCAATTCATCATGTATCTCTCTGAAGTGTACTAGTCTCATTGAAATGGTTGTTTGCAGCGCTCTCTTATTCTTTAATATTTCCTTCTTGATTTCAGATTTTAAAGATCTCGTTCTTCCAATTTTTCACAAATACTAATTTATCACTAAAAAAAAGAAATGTAGATATTTTTTTTGCTATTATTTTATGCTCATAATTAGCCTCAAAGTTCTGTAAAATAAGAGATATTTATACTACTCTTATTGGCTCAATACATTTGCACAGATAAAATGTAAATATAACATTTTCTAAGAGAAATAAAACTGTTTTTGTATTTAAAATGTGTATTTTGTGCAAGTGTCTTTTAGTCATGTGTGTTTTAGCGAATTGAATTATGGTATTCATGAAAGTTTCAAGATGGCGGAATCAAGTCCCACACGAAAGAACGGCTAGTCTATGCTATAGTGCATGTCGGCACATTGATTCAAACTGATTTAAAACCTAGCAAAGGTCTATGATGCGACATTGAAACTGAGACCTTTGCTAGTGTTGGGTTGCGATAAACCGCTGATGGACTTGATCAGTTCTTTATATCTGATATAGAACTGATTAATAAAACATCAGTACTTTATCGGGATATAAAGGCCCATCATGTGACCCAATAGTTCGATGCTCATTGAACTACTAGCTCATGAATTATTAATGAGTTCTAGAAAGTATGTCGAAGGATGTTTCTGGGAAATAACTAATACTTTGTTGTTTGAAAAAGTAGAAAAACAACCGCGTGGCTCAGTTTGACTTCGTCAACCCCATGGTGGATCTCACCAGTGTCATTAAGCGAAAGAACTTTAGTGATGGCATGTGCTAAAAAAAATCAAGAAAAATATCTGTTTTGCTTCGTCCACCTAAAGAGAATCGGAGGATTCTTTAATCAAGTGTTAATCAAATTCATTAATAATTCATAAAGTAAACACAATGGAAAATCATTGCCGTGACCGCATCTTTATATGAGCAAGAGATTGTTCTTATTTGCATACGACTTTTTTTGTAACTTCGACTTTCTAATATTTTATCTTGAAGTTTTTTGCAGAATATGCTTTAGCTTATTATGTTGGGATTTGATAAGCAATATAAAATATTTGCGTCCGACCTTTATGGGCATATAAAACTGCGAGCTGCAAGGTTTCCCGCTCATATTTGATATATTGTAACACAATGACTTCAAGGGACATGGTCCACCAGCATCCCTTTGGAGCTTTTGTTTATGTTTGAAAATAGAAATACATCGTAATATAAGCAAAAATTTACTCTTTATTATTCCTTTATCCTATATGAATGGAGATGCTTTAAGATTCGACCGTTAAACCGATGGATGGAAACGGATTGCAAATGGATATTCGAAGTCACCTCATTTTCCATATATTAAAAATCTAAAACACGACCGCATTGCATGCTAGTGGACCATGTCCCTTTCAGACGTGACGCTTTGTACTTTCGACATAAGTAATCCCACAATTCTTTTCGCTGTGATTTTATGTATTTATTTTTTATCGTGTAACTGCCTTTTCGAAAAAAAAAGATAAATCAAGCAATAATTAATTTAATTGTTGACTTATGGTAGCATCCTCAGCGTAAAGAATGCCAAGATTCACTTCATACTTCAAAAAGTTTTTTTTTTAAGATTTTGCAATGATCAAACAATAGAATAACAAAAGCTTTTTTTACTTGTCGCATAATTTTGGTAGAAACATTTCAATGACATAGGAAATGCACTCAAATTATACTCGTATTTTAGATAAACAACAAGAAAGAAAATAGAAAAAAAGTATATTTCAAATATTAAGGACAGAAAAGATTCAGCCGTATATAGAAAGCAAAATCCGTCATCACGAAAAGGCCCCAAAGGCTATAAAAAGTATCGTTTTCGCTTTCGTTTGCGGCACCGCTTGCGTGATTTTGACTATTGATTTTTTTATTAAAATTTGCATTTTATACTTTCGCTTGAATGAATACATCGCTTCAGCACAACAACAAGAATGGTCGAACGTGCACATGAAATGAACCCTAGTTTTAGAATAGCACAAATCCTTTATAGGTAGTTCCTGTTAGAGACTTTTGCTGTTTAGCAATGTAAACGGCATTTACGTTCAGAAAAGGAGGATTAAAGGTATGTAATTAATGAATTTACTTAATTATATAACTATTTTGGATTAAGCTATCAGTAATCTGCTATTAACTATTCAAGTTTTTCTCTTTTTGTTTATGAATTTTATGTTACGAAATATACAACTATAAGTAGTATAGCTATGAACAATATGTAAGTTTACTGCGAATATAGACGTTAACATTGACCAATACTACAGATTTCTATGATGATTTCATTATTAGGTCATGTCGTGGGGAGCGTTTTATTGTAACATTTACTATACAACAAAGGCAGTAGTAATTTTATTGAATATCGAGTAAATTATAAGACCATTTAAAAAAAATAAAATAAAATTTCCTTAGAGTCAATATTATGGAGCTAACAGAGTTCAAAATGCATGAAAAAAGTATCAAACAAATATTGTACAATTCTCGGGCTGCGCGTTACGTCGTCGCCATGTTGGATGAAGGTCACAAAGCATTCCTCATTAGTTTCTCTTGTCCACCTAACTGACATGGCAGCGATAGTTTTTGTTTTTCTCAAGGGATTCTTGATCATGTGGTTGAGAACATAAGAATAGAGCTAAATAGTGTAGATTAGACAATAGAAAACAAAGAACCCGTTTTCAGTCACTCCCAGGGAGATTCAAAAGACCGGCGGACATGTTGGTAAAATATTGCTTGATAGATACTAATGAGAAATCCTTTGTTAAAGTTCAACCAAGATGGCCAAGATGGCAATAAAGAAGCTCGATTAGCAAAACAAACTCATGAAGCAACGGTCAAATTGTCTAGTGAAATAAGAAAAATGTATCAAAATTCAAACTTTTGCAGCTAGAATCATTTTTGGAACTCATAAATTCGAGCATATAACAGCTGTAATAAGTAAATTAGGTTGGCTGCCTGTAAATTGTTACTTRAAGACCACTGTCGGATTATTAGCATTTAAGAGTATCAAGRGTTTGGCAGAGCAATAAGAGACAGATTTTTAACTTTTTTTCAGAGATGCGATCCCACCATCCCTCAGAATGAGATTGCTTGGTTTTGATTTCAACCAGGCGGATAATATCCACCAATGGGCTGCTTTTACGTTAGTATCCGCCATGATCTGCGTAACTGGATTGGTTGTTATTATGGCAGCATTGATGACATTAATAAGAGTATTTTGGAAACTAAAAAACGAGGGGAGAACGTACAAACAGGTAGGAGGGTTTTCAAAGGGCTATAATTTGATGGGACTTTACAAGCTTCGATTTTTATTTTATTTTCATCAGACATATCAACGCAAGAAATGTTGGATGTGTTTGAATATGTACATATGTACTTGTACGCTTGTTCTGTAAATACTGAATTCAGTTGTTGAAAATGATGACAGGATGCCATCGAAACGTCCAACATTTCTTTCGTTGATGTTTCTAATGAAATGTTTATCCACACGATTCACTAATTCGTTCTTTTCTTTTCTTTTCTTTTCTTTTCTTTTCTTTTCTTTTCTTTTCTTTTCTTTTCTTTTCTTTTCTTTTTATTCACTTATTTATCATAAGATCAAATAAATGACCCAAATGCATGATATATAACTAATAGTGCCAATAGTGCCTGCTTGAAACGTTGAATATCACATGCGACGAATTCTATGTAAAATGAGAAGCAAAAGGTGTGAGTGACATGTGTATGGAACCCATCACATCGAAGTTTCACAACAGACGTTAWTTGTACAAATTTATTGATTGATTTTGTTATTTGTTTTGATTTTATTTAATTTATTTTATGCAGTTGATTACCAAATATTATCAACATCTGTGTTTCATTTTTAAAGAGCCATGATTAACCAGCATCTCTTGCGAGCTTTTGATTGACAGATGGAAACACATTGTTAGTGGAAATTTGAAGTCACCTCATTTTCCATGTATTAAAAACCTATAGCTAAGGCAAGACCACATTGAACGCCTGCTGGCCAGGGCACTATAATTATATAGAATTATGATGGACTAGACATTTTAAATGTTATTTATTGATTTTTTTTATTTATTCTTTGTAAAGGACTACAAGAAGGACATGGCGTCATTTTTTAGGTTTTTACACCGCGATAGAGATTTCRAAATTGTCCACATTAACAAGACAGGTATGTAGAACKTKTAGTAATTTCTGATGGAAATCTTTTGTGAAATCTTACCAAAAAGTTAAAAGCAAATTTTGACAGACCAAATTTTCCACAGGGTCCCTGCACACTTCCACTGGAAAAAAATCGCGCGCTTTAAARGTTGTAAATTTGAAGTAAGTGTCCAAAATTCTGTAAATTTGATGATTTCCATTAAATTTACAGAATTTTGGACACTTACATAATATTTACATCAAATTTACTACCTTTAAAGCGCGCAATTTTTTCCAGTGTTCTGTCCACAACTTCATCACACGCCTGAGTTTCAAACATATGCTTGAAATTTAACAGCAACTCGCTGCGAATTTCGACCGCCGCGTCAGTCGCAGGGCTGTTTCCACGTACAATTTGAGGTGCGCGAGAACAAAGTGGCGATTGTCGCGCGACAATCGCACTGCAAAAATCGCAAGTGTAAACGGGCCTTAAAGGCGCGTTTGCACTGTCGATTTTTGCGGGGATTTTTGCTGCAATTTTTCGAGCGATGTCAGTACAAAAATATAGTTGATTTTGTCTTATGCTTCTGAAGAGACGTTTAGTTTGCTCATGTCATTGTACGGAGTAAAAGATAATAATTTAATTCTTTAGTACTATTCTCTAGGATCAAAATGGCCACAAAAATCGCAGCAAAAATCGTCGCAAAAATCACCAATGGGTCTTAACTTCAAAGAACTCAAGCATCAAATTGCTATAGAGCTGCTGGAATCGTTTCCCCTCCAATTAACTGAAATTGCACTCTTTTGGTACTTATTTTTTGTTGCAGTAATTCAAAATCTATAAATTATTCTAGGACGAAAAAGGATCGGTGTTTGTCTAGAGGGGGGTCTGGACWATCCATCAATAACTGGAGACCCTGGAATATTCATCCAAAAGGTCAAAGTCAACAGCCCTGCAGATGGCAAACTATTTCCTGGTGATAGAATATTATTGGTCAGTAACGGCCATTTGTTGGCTTTTTATTTGGGTCTTTACTCTTTCYTTTGTCACGGTCTTACGAGACATGTCTTACGACTTGTTTCGTAAATGATCTCTTTTGCATACAATCCTACGGTGAAAGTTAACAAAGAATTATGCTATACTAATCGTGAAAATTTCAATTTTATCTAAATGTATAATCAGTGTATATTTTTATTGACCAAAATTATAAAGTGCAAACATTTAAATCATAAAAAAACGTCAGTAATATGAGGTTCTTCTACTCGTACACTATATTGTGCTATTTAGAAGTAGCCACTTAGCATTGTTTCATTGCCACTTTTTCAAGAATTTAGTCTCTAAATTATACATTTTTTTCCTATTTTCCCGTCGTAGGTTAATGACAAAGAAATTGAAGGAGTTCCTCTGCGATATGCAGTGCAAACTCTACGAGAAGCTGAAGGTTTTGTGAAGATTTATGTCAAACGAGCTCAATATCGAGAGGTACTGTTTCCTAYATCATGACATGAATAGAAAATTAAATTTGAAAATTTTCATTTTATGATTACAGAGACGTATTAAAGAGGCCTTTAGACAATACAAGAAAGATAAAACTGAACGAAAGGCTGTCTTTACGCATCAACAAATTGAAGGTACGGCAATTATCGCTTTATAATAGTCGTACTTTTCTACAAAAATGTTATGAGCTTGAGGACTACATTTCGTGCTTGAAAATTCTCCCAAATATGGTGCGCGAAATTGAACATTCAAATAGTGTTTATTCATATATAARTGCATGTCTTTTCTTTGCTAAGTTTTCTTCACAGTTAAGTCCCTGTGCCATTTTGAAAGGTAACCTTGCCTTTGCATTGAAGCGACCARTGAGATGGCTCAACGGTCAACTCAATCTCAGGCGGCTTTTAAAATGACAAAGGGCTATGTAAGCTATTATCTCACCAGAAAATAACACGGCGAATGTCATTTAAATCATTTTATAGAAGCAATACTCCAGTTTCGAATTCTCTTTCATTTTTTTCAATCAAGCATAAATTTTTATTGCCTTCTTTGTACACAGAGTGTTTGCATTACAATAGAATCTCTGCTGAATAAAAGAATGTATTACATGCTTTCGAGGTTAAGGCTGCAYAAATAAGATCTCGAAACTGGAGTATTAACAAGTCGCCCTTTTTCTAGAAATCGAAGATGGTTTTTCGGTGTATGACCGAGCGGGGACTGGGATGATCAAGCGGTCGGTTGTTCTACCTTTGCTTCGTTCACTCGGCTACAACCTCCACGAGTCACAGATCTGGACTTAYATGAATGACCTTGGCTTTACAGGTAACGCAATAACAATTAACAACAATCACATGCTATTCTAGCTTTTTTTGGTTTGAAAATATTATTTCTTATAAAGTCGGCGCAAATGATTTCAACATTTGCTTCTACTTTTCTACTTTCGCTCAGCTTTGTTGAACGGGAATGTTGGACGCGTTTTCTCACTGAATCGGTTTACAAACGTTTAAACTATGTTTCAAGATCCGTTCTTCATATTCTTTGTTCTCAAGCGTATAACATTGCCGCTCAATAAAAACGAATAAGTGTTCAAGCAATTTTCAAAGTGTTTGAAGCCGGCTTAGCTTAAAGCTCATTGTGTGGGAAAATAATAAAAACACGCTGTAATACTCCTCTCCATTCCGTTTCAATTATTTACGTGTGATTGTTCACGGACTATAATTATTACTTTTATCAGCAAATCCAAATATAAAACTACAAGACTTTGTAGARCTGATGCATGCGATAGTGACAGCCAAACAATCTTCACACGATGACGATATCAAAGCGGCATACAGCTTGTATCAGGACGTYGAGGGAGAGTCATTAACGACAACTAAACTAAAACAATCCTTAAAGCGAATGCCTGGTGGTATTAAAGTCAAAGAAGCAGATTTAAAAGATATTTTACAAGTAGCCAATGCAGACAAAGAAGGAAACATTGAATTTGATGGTACGAAATGATTTAATAACAAAGMACCTAATAGGCAATGTGCAACGACGCCATTTTGTACAGCAAAGCATGATGGTAGTTGCAGTCCTCACACATATCGCATTAAAAGACTTTTTATGCGCTTTCTTTGTAGAAACAGCAAACCGACACCACAAAAACACTTCAGGAGGACTGTTTTAACGGATATGAAAAAGTACGAGGACTAAAACTACCATCATGCTTTGCTGCACAAAATGGCGTCGCTGCACATTGCTCATTTACTCGGGTGACATTACGTCATGATAGCTAAAAACGAAAAGGAGCATGGGAAAWACAACCACAAATAAACAACAATAATAGGAGGTCCTTTTTGAAAACCATTTCTTTGTAAATGAAAACGTTACTTTCCTCAATAAATATTATTATTATTAATGGATTTGTTTAACTAAACTATGTTTTAAAGATGTCTTTTTTTAATTTTTGCAGATTTTAAATCACTGGTTCTTCCTACTATGAGAATGTACTAGCGTCGAAATAAAAAAAAATAAACAACAACAACAACAACAACCAAACAAATAGAGCACGGAGTCCTTTTAAGGCTGATTTRCACGGTACGATTTGTCGCGCGCGACTTGTAGTATACGATTTTCCTACTACAAGTCGTAGGATTTTAAGCCGTGGTTCAAAATCCTACTACAAGTCGTAGGCTGCGTACGACTGTTGTAGACAAGTCGTAGGGGCATTTATACTGCGCGATTCAAGTCGTATACTACAAATCGCACGAAACAATCGTGCCGTGTAMATCAGGTTTTATAACGTATTTATATTTGGACTCTACAACTATTTTTGCTAGATTATGGTTGGTTAATAAAATGGGTTTAAATAATAAGTTATTTTACAATGGCCTTGTATTATTGAAATGAAATTGCTTATTGTCAGAGAATTTTTAACTTGTGTGATATCTCAAAACTGAGAATCGTTCCTACATATATCAAAAATTGTTCTATAATTTATTATTTATGTTTTAAAATGAATGATAAAAGATAAGTTTTGATAAATAAAAATGAAAACAAAAATTGTTCTATAATTTATTATTTATGTTTTAAAATGAATGATAAAAGATAAGTTTTGAAAATAAAAATGAAAACAAAAAACAAAAATTCTCCGTATTTAACTACTAAAGTGGTTTCATGTTTTTCTTGTTTGCTCTCTGGTACTAGCAAAATAAAGGTTGTGTTTCACGGCTTTTATGAAATTACTCTAACCATTTCATGCTTTAGCGTTTGCACGATCACTAGTGCGATGTCTGAGATTTCAAAATGGCGGCMACTCGTCCACATTTCCTGTATCCGYTGAGCGGAAGATGTTTTACAAGCTCAAACAGATTCYATKCAAAAGAATATTTCCTCATTCTTTTGTGTTTCAATATGCCTATATCTGACCAATSAAATCAATTCAATTGTCAATCAAAATATCGATTCCACTCTACCACTGACAAATTAAAAATTAAGAAATTCAAAGTAAAAAATATATACCGTATCATAAATTAAACTCGTTTTATCAAAAAAAAAAAACAAAGATATCAAATATTTCTCGGTTTAGTTGCCACAAAGACCGAAACAGCTACTGATACAGAAACTTTCGGTCTGTAAGTACACAGGAAGCCCAAAGCTCAGTCACGCTTCGATGCGCGTATAAATTACCATGAGGAAGTTAAGAACCTCCGCATTTTTAATACTTGCCAAARACAGTCTGGCCACATTAAACAAATCAAAAGACTTTCTCACGTACTTTAGCATGTTATTCTTCAAGGGAAAACGAAACAGCGCCAGAAGTGCAAAGGAGAACCGTTAGCTTTACTCTTTTATACGGTAAGAGTTGAGAAATAGTAATATTTCTAGCATAGAATCGCCYAAATTCTGATAGAGAAAGATGCGATGAAGTAAGCTAGCGGAAGAAACAATATTTGGCGAATTTGTTTTCAGTACGCGAAAAAGAAAACAATCTTTAGGGTGGGTTAGTGTTATCTTATTGAGTGGGGTCGGATTTGTTAGCTTAGCACACCGTACAATTAAAAAATCCCGTGGCAACATGATACCATACCACAAATAGAACAGAAAGAACCAAAATTAGCACTAATACTAATTTAGTTTCAGTACATTTTGTTTAATCGCACTATGAAAAAATAGATTGATCTCCAATCTCTAGTAATTTTCACACTGTTTCAAAACTTATAATAAAACTAATATAAATGTATCGATCAGAAATGATGAAAAATCGCCATCGAATTCTTGTTTCATCGCAAAATCAATAGGAATTCTGGTCCTTTTATTTGTTTCAGATTTTATTGATACATAGTCGAGTTTTTGGGTTCCATGGAGGTTTTTTTTTCAAACACGAAAACGAAATGCCTTTCCTACAATTTTACTCTGTTTTTTGAAGGGCATTTGCAAGTATTTGGAAACAGCCTCGATATAGCTTCGCTGTGATCTTGATATTGCAAGTCTATTGCTCCTCGGCCTAAAATAGTTCTACAGAACGAATAATCTTATTAATTGAACTTTTTAATAAATTCTGAGATATATAAATGAGATTGAAAAGCTTATTATAAAATAAAAAGAATTAAAAAAAATGAGATTGAAGATAAAACGTTTGAGAAACCATCGAGGCTACAAGAACGATTCTTTCAATTTCAAAAAGGAAATGTGTACTTAAAATTCCAAGTGTTCCACGGTATATTGATCTGACATTTGTAAGTAGTTAYACGTGAAATAGAACTAGAAACTTCAATTTCATCTAAATTTAGCTCAATGTTAGCAAATAGGAAAATAATGATTTAGAAGAACATCGTCAAAGTCGTCAATGCAGTTGCTGATAGATACAATTGACTCTTGCATATTACTTTCTGCGATGCTATATTTCCCTTGGTAAAGCGATGCTAACTCTCAAGGACAAAGTAATAATGTTAATGATGATGATGATAATAATGATGATGATAGTGATGATAATTACAAGTTATAATATTCTTAATGAAAACTTTAGTTGTTTAGTTGTTGTTTTAGTTGTTTTTTTTTTTAATGTACACAGTCGAAGATCTCACGTATGATCGATAATAATAATAATAATCATTGTAATTATCAATAACAATAATAATTATAAATAATAATTATCCTTTACTGTGTCCAATAAACAA